ACATAGGTTTACCCCACTGCAAACAAACAACATAGGTCTAAAGCTGGACTTTCAAACCTGGGGAATGTGTGGGGAGAAACCCTTTGCCTTTTGTTTGACAACAGAGGAATATTTTTGTCCCTTTTATTACATTGTGTGTGTGTATGTGTGTGACTCAGGTCATCGGATTTGGTGGCAAGCGTCTTTACCCACTGAGCCTTCCCACTGGCCCCTGTTTGAGCTGATGAGGCTATTGGAATCAGAAGAATAGAAGGTTCTAACTGTGTGGAGCATTTTCCCATAGAGCTGGCTGTCTGAAGGTCTTCAGATACCACATCTTTCTGATTAGCTGGTAAGACAGGAAAGAACTAGGGGCTGGAGAGATGGCTCCATAGTTAGGAGCATATACTTCTCTTCCCGAGGACCTGAGTTCAATTCCCAGAGCCTGATGTGGGTTTCCCCTCTTTATGTTCTGAATATATTTTATTACCACTGGTTAATAAAGAAGCAGCGCAGGATAGAGCGAGATGGGAATTCCAAGCAGAGATAGAGGAGAAAAGAAGGTGGAGTCAGGGAGACACTATGTCACTACCAAAAGAGAAAGATGCCAGCTGCCAGCCAGAACCTTACTGGTAGGCCACAACCTCATGGTGATTCACAGATTAATAGAAATGGATTAATTTAAGATATAAGAGTTACTTAATAAAAAGCCTGAGCTATTGGCCAAGTAGTGTTGTAACTAATATAGTTTCTGTGTGATTATTTTGGGTCTGGGCAGCCGGGGAATGAACAAGCAGCCTCTGTCTCCAAGCACCCATCTCACAACTGCTTGTGACTCTAGCTGAGTGGGCAGTGGTGCTTTAAACCCAGCACTCAGGAGGCAGAGGCTGGTGGATCTCTGTGGGTTCGAGACCTGCTTGGTCTACATACAAAGTTCAGGATAGTCAGGGCTACGTAGAGTCCCTGTCTCAAAAAGAACAAAGTGGGGTAGAAGATTGAAGAGAAAGGGAAGGAGGGGAAAGAAAGGGAGGAAGGGAGAACTTTGGCTTTGGAAACCTTAGAACATCTTCCAAGTTTTTGCTATGAAATTCCTAGAGAGACTGGCAAGGCTTTTACTTTCCTGTTTTTGATTTTGTTTTGGATTCTGTTTTTTGTTTTGTTTTGTTTTTTTCAAGACACATACAGACAGCCTTGATTGTCCTGGAACTCACTCTGTAGACCAGGCCGGCCTTGAACTCAGAGATAGTTTGCCCCTGCCTCCTGAGTGATGGGGATTAAAGGCGTGCGCCATTGCTGCCTGGCTTATTTTCCTGCTTTTAATGCAGCGTTGGGAATAGAACACAGAGCTTCGTAGCTCTACAGCTGAGCTACACCCCCATCATCATTTTGTGTGGTTTAAATGGCTTATGACTGTGTTGTTTTTACATTTATTTCATATATTCAGAGGATAACTTCCAGGAGTTGGTTCTTTCCTTCCATTGTGTGGGTCTCAGGAATCAATGTCAGATCATCCAGCTTGGCAGCAAGCACCTATGCTCACTGAGCCATCTTGCTGGTCATTTATTTGTTTGTTTGCTTTCTTGTGTTTTTGAGACAGTGTTTCTCCGTGTAACAGCCCTGGCTGTCCTGGAACTCACTTTGTAGACTAAGTTGGCCTCGACTTTATAGAGATCGTCCTGCCTCTACCTCCGGAGTGCTGGGAGTAAAGCTATGCACCACCACCAGGCCTATTTATTTTTTAAACAATAAAAGAACAAAGGCACAAAATCTGTCTCTATGAAGGTGAAGGTGCTGGGCAGCTCTTGACCACAGGGGGGCGTGTCCTCCCTAGTCCTGCGCTAAGAACCTACTACGGGGTCTGTGACTATGTCAGCCTTATGACTTGCAGAAATAAGAGAGTTAGCTACCCAAAAACCAAGGGCCAGGGATCCTAGAGACCCCAAATCACTTCCCCTATTCCAGAAACTCCAGCAGCTGAGTGTGTGTCTGGTGTGCAGAGGCTGTGGGGAGGAGGTCATGTTTAAATTACAGAGTAGGCAGGAATGCTGTGTTGGCAACTTTGCCCAGAAGCCAGCAGGGCGGGCGGTGTCTGGGGCATGACCTGGTGATGGCTGCCATGCGGGTTAAGGTGCTGGGTGGAGCTGGCTGCTAAGGGCCGGGAGAGCGTGGGTGTGACAGCCACAACAGAGATGGGGCTACACAGGGCGGGTCAGTGGCAGCTCAGTCCTGCCAGAGCTGGGGTTATGTCCTGTGATTTAGGCAAAATCAACTTTTTTTTTTTATAGTAAGAATATCTGAGGTCTGGCAGCAGTCTTGCTCCCTTGACCTTACCGTCTTTAAGGGTAGCTCTTCTGCCCACTTCAATGTCCAGCTTTTAACCAAGTGAGACACTTTTCTTCCTTCCTTTCTCCCTCCTTTTCTCCTTCCCTCCCTCCCTCCCTCCTTCTTTCCTTCCTTCCCTCCTTCCTTCCTTCCGTCTATCTATTCATACACAAAAGAAACACTGAGTGTAAGGCACTGTGGAGCTGGGAGCTGGGGCTCCTGTCCTAGAGGCTACAGTCTTCTGGTTCTATCTCTTCACCACTCTCCCCACCCAACCCAGGACAGGGATCAAAACCAACCACCAACAGACAATGAGAACACATTCAGACAGAGCCAGTGGCACTCCACCACCAAAGGACATCTCTAGTCCTGTTTTTACCTTTTTTTTTTTTAATTGAGAACATCTCCCTGTGTTGTCTAGACTGGCCTTGATCATGTGGTCCTCCTGCCTCTGCCTCCCAAATGCTGGGATCACAGCTCTGCCTCCTGACCTTTATTTAGGCTCCTCCTAAATAAACTCCCCCTGTCTCTCTCTCTCTCTCTCTCTCTCTCTCTCTCTCTCTCTCTCTCTCTCTCTCGCCTAGCCAGAATTGATCTTCCTTCAGTGCCTTCCTCAAGCCCCACCAGTCCTAGAATGTGAAAAGGAGGACTTTCCTTCCTCATCCACTATGGTCATGTGACTAATTCCACCCACGGCCTGAGTAGGACCCCGATAGATACCGGAATGGATGAACGAGGTATCTGCCTCTGAGTTCACAGCTGAGACTGCCCAGAACTTTCACTTGGCAAATCATCCAGTCCTGCCCGTGACATCTCTCCTACTAAACTGTTGTGTTTATTATCTCTTGAGCCTGTGTGGTTAAACAGGGCTCGCAAGATGTCAGCAACAGCGAGGAATTGAGTTTCCTCATTCAGCTACAAAACGGACAGGCAGGCAGGAGGGAAGACAGGGACTTGGAAAGATGCGAGGGGAAGGAAGATGGGTTTTTCTCCTCCAAAGCTTTCAGCATCACCTGCTTCTGCAAACAGCCTTTCTAGCCCCAGAGGATGGCTGTCTGCTAGCTACTGCGCTGGTTTCAAATCCTTCCAGCTCAGCAACCCAGAATGTGCCCCTCCAGTTCCAAGTCTAAACTCCTGGTAGAAGTTCTGGCTCCTGTAGGTCCCTCATTTTTCTTGTGGACCAGTCACTGTGGCCCAACACCAGATGATTGGCAGTCCTCCCGAGCGAGCCTTTAGGAAGAGCCTGACATCTATGCCTTTGTCAGTGATGGTGTTTGTGTTCTTGTGCTTATTCTTTTTTGGACATGGGGAGAAGATAGGGTTTCATGTATCTCAGGCTGGCCCCACACTCACTATGTAGTCAAGAATGAGCTTGAACGTCTGAGCCTTTTGCCTCTACCTTCTATGTGTTGGGATTTCAGGAATGTGTTACCACACCCAACGTGTGTGGTGCTGGGAACACATGACACTGTGTATGCTAGGCAAGCACTCTAGAAACTGAACAGCACCATCACCTCTATCCCCCATTGCTGGACATTCCTGTGGTCTCCGATTAGTAATAGTGATAAATTTGGGCAAATTTGGGCTGGAGAAATGGTTCAGTGGTTAAGAGCATTGCTTGCTCTTCCAAAGGTCCTGAGTTCAATTCCCGGCAACCACATGGTGGCTCACAACCATCTGTAATGAGGTCTGGTGCCCTCTTCTGGCCTGCAGGCACAGACAGAATATTGTATACATAATAAATAAATAAATATTTTAAAAAAATTTTGGGCAAATTTTACAGGGACTTATAGGGGAAAAGTTTTTATTTGCTTTTTTCTTTCTTTCTTTCTTCTTTTTGATCAGACTTCTTTGGTGAATCTTCTACAGAATCTCCATGAACCTGTCACCTTGCAACACTGCCACAGAGTCGTGTGTATTGTCTCAGGGTATGAAGCTAGAGAGAATCATAGCAGCCAAGTGATAACTGGAGCTTCTGCTTCTGTTTTCCCTTCTGAGAAAACCCTTTGTGCCCCATAGTATAACACTGGCTTTTAAAAAAGAAGATACGTATTTATTTATTAGGTATATAGTGTTCTGCCTGCATGTATGCCTGTACACCAGAAGAGGTTACCATATCACATTAGAAATGCTTGTGAGCCACCATTTGGGTGCTGGGACTTGAACTCAGGGCCTCTGGAAGAGCAGTCAGTGCTCTTACCCTCCGAGCCATCTCTCCAGCCTATCACTGGCCTTTTTTGGTCTTAAATGAACACTTACTAAGCCTGTCTTTTCTATTTGTGTTTCTTTGTTTATTTTGATAGAAAGCAGGGAGGACAACTTTGAAATTGGCAAATGTAGGAGGGAGGGTCGCTTGTTGGTTCCCGACCACTCAGCTAACTTAGACCCAAAATAATCACACAGAAACTGTATTAATTAAATCACTGCTTGGCCCATTAGCTCTAGCTTCTTTTAGGCTAATTTCTTACATATTAATTTAAGCCCTTTTTTTATTAATCTGTATATCACCATGTGACAGTGGCTTACTGACTAACGTTCCCAGCATCTGTCTCCAGAGGCTCCATGGCTTCTCTCCGACTCCACCCTTCTCCTCCCATGCTATAGGCCAAGCCAGTTCTTTATTCATTAACCAATAAAACCAACACACAGACAGAAGGACCTCCCACATCAGGCAAATGTAAAACTGAAAGTGTGCTTTCTTGCATGGCCTCAGCAATGTACTGCCAGGCTTTCGCCAGTCGTGATAGCATTATACTTACGTGCTGGCTGAGGAAACTGAGGCCCAGGTTTGGTTGGAACTGTGCCCAACGTCACAGTGCCCCTATGGGATGTGGGCCGACAACAAAACAGGTGTGTGCTCAGACTTTTCTGATACCAAACCAACTAACAGGCAGGGTTTTTTGGAACTGAGAGTGGAGACCAGGGCCTTACGTGTTAAGCAGGGGCTCAACCATTGCGCTGCAGGCCCAGGTTGCTCATACGATCTGCGTAGCAGTTTTCTGAGGTCAGAATCAGTGGAAGGTGTTTGTTACTACTTGCTTTTAAATTGCTTATTCATTTCATATGTATCAGTGTTTTGTCTGCATGTGTGTCTGTGCCGTGTCTGTGTCTGGTGCCCTGGGAAGCCAGAAAAGAGTATAGATGTCCTATAAGTTACAGAAGAATTCAGGCCACCATGTGCTCAGTTGGGAATCAAACCCAGATTCTTTGGAGGAAAAGCCAGGGCTCTTAACTGCTGAGCAATCTCTCTACCCTCTATTTGCTTGTTTTTGATACTAGGTTGTATGTAGTTCAGGCTGGTCTCGAACTTATGAAGAAGTTGAGGGTGACTTTGGAGCTATAGCTCTACATGCCTCCTCCTGAGCTGAGGCCAATGACAGGCAAGAGCGAACAACAACACACTTGGTTTATCAGGTGCTAGAGACTGAACTCGGGGCTTCCTGGCATGCTGGTTAAGCACGCTACCGACTGAAGCTACGTGTCTAGCCCTGAGAATCAGATGAAGTTTAAAGACTTTGCCCAGGGTCACAGGTCTAAGATTTGTGGGTTCCAGAATCTATTGTATTTCCAGTTCCTGTCGCTGCATGACCCTGGGTTGGTCACCTAACCTGTTTGTAGCTCAACTTCCTAATCTGGAACATGGGGGATGATTATGGCACCTGTCCCTTGGGGTTGTTATGAGGCTTAGGAAAATGACCAGCTTGATCCCCATCAGTGGACCGCTAAGGTTGGTATTGTTGAAACTAATATCACGAGACCTCCCACAGGGTCACGAGTCGGCCACTCCTTGTCGGAAGAGAACCAGATCCCGTGGGAGCTCCTGGCTGGTCCAGGTGCTCCGAAGACTCAGCGCAGGCGCTGCCTGGGAAAGTTGGTCGTGGAATCAAGGGAACAAAGGCTCCAGGTGCTCGGACGGCTGATGCCTGCCTGGCTAGAGGCCAGTTTCCTGCTCGATCGGGTTGCTCTTGACTGCCCAGGTTCAGGGAACTTACCCCTTGTTCCATGCTCCTGCCTCTGCCAAACGGTAAGCTGAGCAATGTGCTTGGCAACACAGGACAAGACCGAGCTTGGTCTCCGTACTTCCTCTCCGGAGCCCAGTACTGACTAAAGCCGGAAGTCCTGGGGCACGAGAAGGGACCCTTGCAGGTTCTCCTTCCTGTTCAGTGTCCTTGTAAACCCTCTGAGGATTGAGGCTAGGATCAGAGACGGGGCTTGAATGCCCGCTGGAGAATGGAGCAGCGGGGTGCCCTAGGGCATGCCAGCCAGGCTCTCTGTAACTCGTTTCTTACTGTGCTTTTTTTTTTTTTTTTTTTTTGGAGGGGGGTAATGAGAGGGGGATGTTCATGGTTAAAGCCTGTGCCAGACTTGCAAAGTCCCTCGTGTCCTGAACAAAGCCTCCGCGAAAGGGACCTTCACTTCCAGTGGAGGGTGATCTTTGTGGAACACAAACTAGATCAAGTTTTGCAAGGTCTTTCAAGCCTGCCTCAAAGCCCAGCCTGCTCCACCCCAGCCGGCTCCCAGCCAGCAAGCAGCCTGCACCATGCTCCGCTCATGTGGTTCGAGTTTGTTGCCCTGGGACTTTCTGCTCACTGTCCCCTTTGCTGGGAACACTTTGTCCTCCAGGTCCTCCTGTGACTGTTCTTCTCGCGCAAGCGCTCAGGTGTGTTCTCAGGTGTTAACTCTTTTGTTTATTTATTTTTGATTTTATGACACACAATTTCTCTGTGTAGCCCTGGCTGTCCTGGAACTCTACTCTATAGACCTGGCTGGCCTGGAACTCAGAGATCCTCCTGCTTCTTTCTGCCTCCTGACCGCTGGGATTAAAGGTGTGTGCCTCCACTCACCGCCTGGCCGGATGTTATCCCTTAATAAACCTTAGAGGCCTGGAGAGATGGTTCAGTGGTTAAGGGCACTGGCTACTCTTTCAGAGGACCAGGGTTCAGTTCCCAGCACCCACATGGCAGCTCACAGCTGCCTGTAATTCCAGTTCCAGGGAATCCGACACTCTCACACAGACATACACGCAGGCCAAACACCAATGCACATTAAAAAAATAAATAAAATTATCAGGGCGGTGGTCCAACACTTCAGGAGGCAGGCATCATTTAAAAAAAGAAAAAGAAAGAAAAGAAAGAGAAACCTTTTTAGGTGGCGCCCTGAAAGACCCCCACTTTGTCCTTCTGTACCTACACCACCCTGGCTCTTGCACCCAGAACTCAGAGGACATTTTTTTCCAAGGTCCCATTTTCTTTTATTCTTCTCTTCGATTTTGGGGTTATTACTGCTATTTTTTTGTTTTTGTTTCCAAGAGGACAGAATTTTGCTGTCTTGTCCACTTCCACTGTAGTTTAGACTGGCCTTGTACTCTTGGCAATTCTCCTGCTCCGGCCTGTTGTTATTACAGGTGTCAACCAGCAAAGCCACCTGGCTGATGTTCCTTCTCACCCTTTGTGTTGCCCTTGGAGAAAATGCCCAGGGCTTTGCTCAAGCTCAACAACTGCTGTACTGCTGAGCCATGTCCATAGTCCAGCGAGCCTTCCAGGCTGTGGCTGGCTCCTACCCCACCCCCAACCTCAGCTCCTAAAGGATGGTGGCTAAGAATCCCTCTCTCTATCTCTCTTTTAAATTTCTATATATATATAATTATATATATATAATATATATTATATATATATAGCCTAGCGGTGGTGGCACGTGCCTTTAATCCCAGCATTTGGGAGGCAGAGGCAGGCGGATCCCTGTGAGTTCGAGGCCAGCCTGGTTTACAAGAGCTAGTTCCAAGACAGGCTCCAAACCCTGTCTCGGGTGTGTGTGTGTGTGTGTGTGTGTGTGTGTGTATACATATACATACATACATACATACATACATATATATATATATAATTTCATGCACATTGCATATTTGTCTGTGTAAAGGTGTCAGATCACCTGAAACTGGAGTCACAGGCAGTTCTGAGCTGGCCATGTGGGTGCTGGAAATTGAACCCAGGTCCTCTGGAAGAGCAACAAGTGCTCTTTTAACTGCTGAGCCATCTCTCCAGCCCAAGTCTCTTTTCTTTATTATCTCCCTCCGGCGCCCCCGCAGTGCCTGACCAGGTAGATACCCCGGTATTTGCAGGTCTGTGTGGTCTCCCCCTGGAATCCGGTTTCCTGGCTGACCCCTTTGTCTCCTCTTCATTGGGCAGAGGCCTGAATCTGTGATGTGCACCTTTGTGGGTGTGAACATGGGTGGATTTCCAAATCACTTTCACTCATCAGTACCTCACTCCAGTAGTTCCGTCAGACAGGTAGGGCAGGATCGTAAACCCCATTTCACACACGAGAAAATGGAGACATTCAGAGGATTACAGAACTTGCCCAAGACCACTGGCCTCAGTCACCAAGGGCAAGGAGTTAGGAAACCATTCCCAGGACACCAAGCCAGACATACCAATAACTGGAGGGGGACAATCTGCACATTAAAGCAATTTTCCATTAAATCAAGCTATAGAACTGAATAGCTTACTTATATAATTACTTTAAAAGGGGCGGCTGGATACTGGTGGCACACTTCTTTAATCCCAACATTCACATCAGAAGGCAGAGGCCAGCAGATCTCTGTGAGTTCGAGGCCAGCCTAGTCTACAAAGCAAGTTCCAGGATAGCCAAGGCTACACAGAGAAACCTTATCTCAAAAAACATAAATAAATAGATAGATAAATAGACAGATGATAGATAGATAGATAGATAGATAGATAGATAGATAGGGGCAAGTAGTCTGGCCTGAATTTTCTGAGCTAAAACAAGTTTTTAAAAAATATATCAAAGGGGGTTGGAGAGATGGCTCAGAGGTTAAGAGCATTGCCTGCTCTTCCAAAGGTCCTGAGTTCAATTCGCAGCAACCACATGGTGGCTCACAACCATCTGTAATGGGGTCTGGTGCCCTCTTCTGGCCTGCAGGCATACACACAGACAGAATATTGTATACATAAAAATAAATAAATATTTTTAAAAAAAATATATATCAAAGAGAAAAAGGCAGCCTTAAGGGTCTGAGGAGAGACTGCCTCAAGAATCCCATGGACACGAAAATCCACAGACTCTCAAGTCTCTGATATAAAATAATGGGGCATTTGCACAGCACCTGGACTTATTTGCCCACAAACTTAAGATTATCTTTAGATGACTTATAACACCTGGTTCAATGTAAATACTGGTGGGTGGTGCACACCTGTGATCTTACACCTGGTCAAAGCAGAAAGCCAAGGAGAGTGAGTTCCAGGCCAGCATAGACACATGAAGAGACATAGGCTCAAAACCAAAGTAAAAGCAAAACCAATGTAAATGCTATTGTCACCAGGGGATGGGGGAACAAAATTCCTTTTATTGGTCCTTTCTTTGTTTTTTTTTTCTTTGTTTTTTTCTTTCTGGTTTTTTGAGACAGGGTTTCTCTGTAGCTTTGGAGCCTGTCCTGGAACTAGCTCTTGTAGACCAAGCTGGCCTCGAACTCACAGAGATCCACCTGCCTCTGCCTCCTGAGTGCTGGGATTAAAGGTGTGCGCCACCTTTTTTTTGAGATAGATTTTTCTGTGTAGCCTTGGCTGTCCAGAACTCCCTCTGTAGGCCAGACTGGCCTCTACCTCAGAGATCCACCTGCCTCTTCCTCTAAATGTTGGGATTATGGGATTAAAGGTGTGAGCCACCTCGCACGGCTTCTTTTGCTGGTTCTTAATCCATGCAGACTGGGGAGAAAACTCAACAGCTCGAAGAGAATGAAAGAGGAGAGAATAGGAAAAGAGGCAGAGTTACAGCTGTGTGCAACAGTTCACAGCTTTAGTTCCAGCACTTGTGAATCTGAGACAGGAGGATTGCCATGGGTTTCAGGTCAGCCTGGGCTACACAGTGAGACTCATTGCAGCCTAGACAGCAGAGTGATACCCTGTCTCCAAAGGGGGTCATGGACCATTAGCCGTGCCTTGTGTCAGAGGATGTCAAATGTCTCAAGCAGGGCTCCAGACATGGGAAACACCCACTTCCGCACCAGTGAGGATCTTATTGGTCTCAGAACATGCCAGTTTTACTACATGAAGCTGGAAAGACGCTGTGTTAAGCTGTGTTAAGTCCCAAATGGGGCCAGGAAGCAGTTGTTGGGCAAATAGCTCTTTTATTCCCTTCTTCCCTCCCAGCATCCTTTATCATTTTGTATATGTATTGTGTACAGATTCAGCACAGATGTGTCCACAATTGGTCTATCCTTTTTACTGTTGAGACAAGGTCTCACTGTGTATGCCTGGCTTGCCTGGAACTCAATATATATAGACCGAGTTAACTTCTAATTCATAGAGATCTGCTTGTCTTTGCCTCTTAAGTGCTGGGATTAAAGGGATGCACCACCTACCCCGACTTAAAATTATCTCTAGATGACTTATAACACCTGGTTCAATGTAAATACTGGTGGGTGGTACACACCTGTGATCATACACCTGGGTCAAAGCAGAAGGCCAAGGAGAATGAATTCAAGGCCAGCATAGACTACATGAAGAGACATAGGCTCAAAACCAAAGTAAAAGCATGTTTTAAATCTGTGTTTGGTTGAGTGTATGGATGTAGAAGCAGTAGATACAGAAGGTTGAGTGTATGCATTACTTGTAACATCTGGGAAACTCTAAAATTCTTGCCTTCTTTCTGGGTTGGACAATCCCAGTTTCTTCTTTATTTTCTGCCATGGAATCATAGTGATTCCTCTGTGTAGTTGAGCACATAGCACACACTACAGATTAATGGCTTAGTACACAGTGCTTTCCTAGTGCTTCACACCAGGTCTTAAAAATTCTTTTTATAGGGGCTGGAGAGACAGCTCAGCAGTTAAGAGCACTGGCTGTTCACGGTGGCTCAAAACCGCCTGTAACTCCAGATCCAGGGGTCTGACAACCTTAAGACATACACGCAGGCTATATATATATATATATATATATATGTGTGTGTGTGTGTGTGTGTGTGTGTGTGTGTGTGTGTATGTATATTCTTTTTATTGTTGGGCATGGTAGCACACACCTTTAGTCCCAGCACTTTGAAAGGAGAGAGAAGAGGCAGGTTGACCTCCATGAG